AGGCCGATCGCCGGATCTCTCGGCGCTTCGTGCTGGTCGGCTTCTAGGTCACTACCTACCGGACCGGGCTTGAAGCATTCGCTCCCGCTGCACATCGACGGACCACAAAGCTGCCGGCGTCTCTGACAGAGTCCTTTTGCCTAGTCGCTGGCATTAAGGAAGAATTCGCGAACCGCGTCGCGCGCAAACTGTATTTGTGCTCATATGCTAGTGGTTCGCCGGCTCTGAGCCGCGGCGCATATGATGTTCGTGGTGTTCATGCAGCCCGAAGGTCCCGAGACCGTTCATGATTCAAATCCCCTAGGATCCACCCTATTACCGCGCTGGGATCCATCCATCTCCGATGTTCGTGTCAACTGCAGCGCCAAGTCTCTGGTCAATATTTGACGTATCGAAGGATCTCGTGAGCAGAGCATCTGTACAATTACACGAAAAACGGCAAGTTTCCAGCAACCTGCATTATTACTCGTCAGCACGATAGACATCTCGTGTGGCCTCTAAAATCTCTGAATCGCCGCATTGATTGACACTGGCAATGCGGTTTGCGAACCACGGCTACTGCAGAAAGACAACGAAGACGCGGTCAGCACAGAGCACACTGTGTCTCTTAACAATTTCTACCACAGCCCCCTCCTGCAACCAACACCCCTGGCCCCGACCCCTGCAGCTCTCACGAACGACCAAGCTCAAGCGATGCTGCGCGCTCCATTGGACGACCCTCGCTTAGATCAAGTCAACCACCGGTTGGCCTCGTCCCCTCTGCATGCCCAACGCCTCAGTGGCTGCTTCGTGTGGCTGACACGTCAGCAAGCTGGGGGGAAAATCAAGGAAACACCTGCTGATCCGGTAGTGAAGAACGCGGGGTAAATGGAATCCGTACAAATGCCGCCGTGGAGGCCAATCGTCTCGCGATCATGGCAAGTTGTTCCACTTGGAAAAGAAAAGGCCGTCGTGCCGTGCCGCGGTAGCGGTTGTGCCGGCACGAAGAATCAGCAACGCCACGTCGTCGCCTCGGAACCGAAGTTTGCCTCTGGCCAGACCTGCGCATCAACACCGTCATGTCATAATCATCCATCCGAGGGGAACATCAGCTTCGAAGGGCCTGGAGCCACTGCCAGCTAGGTCATCATCCGTGCCCACTGGTCACGGACGGCCCCTTGAAAGCTGCAGTCCATAAGACCTGCGAGGCCAAGCTTTTCTGGTTCGGTAGATCAACCTTCTTCCGATTCGAGCACCCAATGCAACCCCAGGCGCTCAGACGACTTTTCTGTCACTTCACTCACTACTGCACACTCTCTAATCACCGCGGTCACGAATTTGGTGGCGACGAGGCCTCGTATTGTCGACTACCTCACTTGCTACGGGGCTTCATCTGTCAGCCATCGGCTGGGTGGTGGATGAGGGTTTGCTGAACTAGCGGCCGAGTCTATTTCAGCCCCAGTGTGGTGTCGACTTCAGTCATCAGTTCTGTAACTGGGAGAAACCTGCTTCTGAAACGCGGAGAGGCGAATCCCGTACAGACAAGCAAGCATCCTTGCCGACCATCCCGTCTGCACGACTGTTGCTCCGATGTGAGCGAGCACATTGACTTCCGTCTAACTTCTAACCTGCGTTGAGGTTCGGGCGGACAACGTCAGGCCTCTCGGAGTCGTCGACCCTCAAGCTTCGGGATTGAAGTGGGTAATCTGAACCTTTCTCTGCTGGTTGCCGTCGGATACCACGTTATCCCGTCTACCGCCAAGAAAGCAGAAACTGCCTTTCGTCTCTTTCTCGGGTTTCGAGATGATCAGCAGCCGATACCGACAGAATGGCGCCATGAGTTAACGGTCTCTGAAGAGTGATGCAGTCCTACACTTGGCCTGCGGGAGACCGTGATAATATGACTGGATATCGACACAAGGTAGCCACTCTTTGTTTCATGCGTGCTCGGCAAATGACCGCATTGCTCTGCAGGTGAACGATCTGTGGTTGACATTGGCGGAGTCGAGGGTATATGTGCAGCCTCTTAAGCATACGCAAGCCCTTGCACTCTGGAACATGCCGTCTTCCGGTCCGCGAATGCTGTGAGGTGAACAAGGCTGCGTCGGCACGGGCAGGTGGAGATTGGTTCCATCCGGGTCTCAAATGGCCGCCGCTTCCTCCTTTTCCCGCTCCGCCCTCCGGACTCGGCGCTCTGCCCGCTCCACTCGGCCTTCCACATCAGCCACGAACTCGGAGGCGCCGAGGACACCTTGCTGATACCAATTCTTGAGAACCTCCTCGCTCCGCTCCCTGAGCTGTGCCATCTCAGCCTCTTGGGCGATCTGAGTTGCTTCGATACCGCGCATTCTCGGCACGAGAGACGCGAGGCTCGCACTCTGGGAAGGTTCGGGGATCGGGCAGTCGTTGACGGAGGTCAGTGAAGAGGCTGTCGCAGGAAATGAGGCTGCTGATGCAAGCACAGTTGCTTGGACTGCCTCGGGACCCAGCTGGATGGGGGGCTCGGATGGGGGCGGGGGTTGGAACAGAGTCGGGTGTGAGTTGTCTAGCGGAGGTTAGTATTAAAACCTGCGGGGGAGATGCGTGTCGTACAAATCTTCATAAGCTCGCCATAGACGCGGATGCGGGAGAGAAGATGGTTGAATCGCCGCTCGAGATCCTCGAGGCCGTCGACAGCCGAGTCGGCGTTCAGGGACGGCGGCGCGGCAGTCGGGCCGTACAGGAGATGCTCGATGCGCAAGAGACGAGACTCGAGCAGCGATATGGTCGAGAGTGTCGTGGTATCCAGCGAGGAGTCCATCTCGGGACGCGGGACGCGCGTTGTCGCGTCGGGGGTCGAAGTGTGGTATGGCTCGTTCGCAGGGAGGGGTGCTTGGTGGATTGCAGGTGACCGATGCCGGGTAGTGGACGGTATGGTGGCAGGTATGTATTATTGACGCTCGAGAGGAATGGTCGCGAGGTCGAGTTCACAGAATCTCGATCGAGGTCTGCTGCGATGGTGTCTAGCGCAGTAAGGCTGATGTTTGTGAGTGGCTGAAGCTTGCTGTCGCGAGTTCGTCCAAGGTGCCGCGGATGGGGGGCCAGGTGATGTGTGGCTTGTGACTGCCCAAGACCAGGTTGGGGGGCTCCTCCTTTGACTTTCCAGGTCCAAGTTGCTTTTGATGGCGCCAAGCCAGATTGACTAAGGGTAATTCCGGGGGTGAACGCTAAGAATGGGGCCTGCCCTGTCGTTCCTGCCCGCCCCCCGTTTGTCGGGTCTTGGTGCGGACAGTGGGCGGACAGTCGGAGAGTGCAGTGTGCGTGGTGCCTCGTGGCCTCCTGTAGCGGCCCCTGGCTGGACCTGTTGCAGGTGAGGTCGAGCCTGCCCGAGGAGCGAGACAGCGCCAACGCCTGCGTATCCACTGGCGGCGCAGCAGCAGCAGCAGCGCAGGTACGTAAGACAGGACCTTTGTACCTAATCATTACAGACGGGAGGGTAAAGCGGGAGGTAATTAAAGAAGTAGCCGTTTGCCCACTCGGGGAGCTCCGGTTTTCTTACCTAAAATTAACCAAATCAACGACAATTCAACCTGGCCTGAGTGGCCTCTTTCGCTGTGTGACCCTCGTCTCCCAAGCCCGACTGATGTTACGCAACAAACTGGATAGCTGTCCATAATTAATACCTTTAAACTTGTCGTTTATTCAGCGGGAACCCCAGGGTGCTTGCTGCCGTTGCATCTTTCCTGCTGTTCAGTTCAGGCCAGGTCAGAACGGGACACCAGACGGAGGGGAACACAACCTTTCTGCTGTCAAAAAGTCAGTCTGCAACTCACGCTCGTCCTCGTCTGCAGGCGACAGCGAGGAGCGAGAGAACAAGAGTCAGGCTTTTCGCCTCTGACTGGCCGTCGCAAAAGTCAGCCAGCAGAAAACCAACACGACGAGCGACGACGGCGACGCCTTGAAGAAGCCAACAAGCCGCCGCTCTCGACAAACCCGACTCGCTCACCCTCCCACGTATCGCGATCAACCCACGGGAATACCGACTCCAGCCACAGCCTGCGTCGCCCGCTGGCCTGCCCGCCCATCCCATCCTTCTGCCGCGACATCGAATTACTCGGTCGCTACGTCCCGACACGCTGAACCCTGCGAGGTTTGTCCCGGTAGGGCGACCAGACATTTCGAGAGATTTGCAGGAAAGCACGTCACAGCTGCCTTGCCTCCCTCCACTGCATACCCTCACGTCACGCCTTCTTTTTCTCCGCTCTCCGACTGCTGAGCGAGCCGCCTGCCCGTCTGCGACAGAGACGCCGGGAACCCGAGCAGGACCGCATTTTCTTGGTTTTTCTTAACCTGCCATTTTCCATACCGTTTTTGCCGGTTCGACAATCACAAGCACCCGGATTGCTACGCTGACTGTCTGCTGGGTTGTCATTGCCGAAGTGGACATCTTTTATCTAATCTCGCCGTATCCGGCTTCCTCTTTTGGCCGGCACTTTTTATCTGGACAGAACTCGCTTTGGCGATTTTGCGACTTGCGACTGCCAACCATCTTTCAGCCGCACACGCAGTCCACGAGAGACGACGCATTCTGGCGACGACCGACCTCGAAACGAAACCAACCGACGACCGAAACACCCGGTACACAGTACTATGCCGAATTACTCAAGTATCTCTGATGGAAACGCAAATTCAATTGCGTCTGGAAGCTCCGGCGAAATGTCACGGTACGCCGAACCCCACCCGCCCCGGATGTCAGATCCGAGAATAGGCAGGGCTATGCGAGAAGAGGAACACTTTGCTGACGGTGATGTTGTTGCGCGCAGACCACGCCGAAGACACGGAAGGGAGGGAGGAGGCCAGGCCTCGATGATAAGCAGTGTCATCAACCTGCTGAATACTAGTATGTGCTGTCGCGTGAGCCCGCGGAGATTGCGTTTTCGAGCATGTGCGGGGTGATGGTGGTACACAGCTGACAGGCGCGATGAACAGTTGTCGGTGCGGGAACGTTGGCGATGCCCTCGGTGGTGTCGCATATGGGTATAATGCTTGGTGTGTTTCTAATAATCTGGTCTGGCATCACTGCCTCCTTCGGTCTCTACCTGCAGTCTCGCTGCGCCCGATACCTCGACCGCGGATCGTCGTCCTTCTTTGCGATATCCAAAATTACCTACCCGAACGCCGCCATCCTCTTCGATACGGCCATTGCGATTAAATGCTTCGGTGTCGGCGTCTCCTACATGATCATCATCGGCGACCTGATGCCCAAGGTCTGCTTGGGGCTGTTCAGCGGCTTGGCGGAGACTAGGCCGTACTTGGGGGAGAGAAACTTCTACATCACGCTGTTTATGCTTGTCATCATCCCGCTGAGTTTCCTCAAGCGGTTGGATTCGCTCAAGTACACCAGCGTGGTTGCGCTGGTGTCGATTGGCTACTTGATTGTGCTCGTTGTCTACCACTTTGCCGACAGCCCGCTCAAGGACACCAGCGACATCCGGGTTGTGAAGCCCGAGAGCACCGTAGCAGTGCTCAGTACTCTGCCTGTTGTGGTATTTGCGTATACATGCCACCAAAACGTACGTCATTCGAAGCAGGACTTGCCTCTAGGTTCTTGCTAACAAGATGCAGATGTTTGCCATTATCAACGAAATCAAGGATAACTCTCCTGGCAGCATTATCGGCGTCGTCGGCTCCAGCATTGGCTCTGCCGCTAGCATCTACATCCTCGTAGCAATCACCGGCTACCTTACCTTTGGCAACGCCGTTACAGGCAATATTATCCAAATGTGTAAGTGATCGCGTGCTCATACCCCGAGTCATTGCTGACGTATTTAGACTCTACGACTGTCGCGTCTTACATCGGACAGCTGGCCATCGTGGTCCTTGTCACGTTTTCGGTTCCCTTGCAGGTTCACCCCTGCCGCGCCTCCATCGATGCCATTTTGAAGTGGCGCCCCAACCGTAGCTCGGGTGCCAACGGCCGCTCGACTTCGCCTGGAGGCCGCCCTCTGCTGCCATCTTCGGCGTCTGTCCGCTCGGATCACGGGTCTACTTCTTCCATGAGCGACATTCGCTTTGCGATCCTTACCAGTGTCATTCTCATTCTTGCTTATATCACCGCCTTATCGGTTCACAACCTCGAGAGAGTGCTTGCCTATGTCGGCAGCACTGGCTCCACCAGTATCAGCTTCATTCTCCCGGGTCTCTTCTACTACAAGATCAGTGACCCGGATAGTGTGCACCAGCAGCGTCTCCACAAGGAGGACGACGACGCCGATATCCCTTCAGACGAGGAGGATGAAGCTACCATGATCAACAGCATTGCCAGCCTCGGCAGCGCAGCTAGCGTTGTCGTCAACCCCCGCAAGTGGAACCGCAAGTGGCGCTGGGATCTGGAGCACATTGAGCAGGACCTGCTCCGCAAGCTTGCGCTGTCACTCGCTATCTACGGCGTATGCGTCATGGTTGTGTGCCTTATCATGAACATTGTCTTCCACGCGTCGCATTGAGAAAAGAAGACTTGGGCCCTTCGAAACACAAGAGTTTAGAGGAAGAGTTGTTTTGGATGATACGAATGCCCTTACACGGCCGCTTGGGATAGACATTGCGGCGGGAATTTCCCACGGGAACTCGTCACGCATTCTCGGAGTTGGTTGGTTTGCTTGTTTCCTTTGTCCGTTTCACCGGGGTGTTTAACCCTTCTTTAACCCCTTACCAGCGCGGTGGCTGCATTGTGGGCGTTACTCGAATTCGCACCTCACGTCTAATTCATTTTTCGACGTCTTGTTGTAAGAGATAATTTAGGATAAGACGGGCCAACCGAATAGCCACGGGCGGTCCTCCGTAGCGCATAAAATGGCTTCAATGGAGTGACATTTTGGTCTTTTTACAATCCTAATGTTGTACAATGAAAGTGACGTATCCTCGATGAGGCCTGGATCGTGCCAAATGATGTGTTGTGAAGCTCATCTGAAGCTCCCGCCTTGGCGCCTCTTCGCCACTGTCTCCGTCGACAGAGTTTGCCATCATCCGATGGTGCTCTGATATTCGTACATTTTTTGGATTCTCGGCGTTTCTATTATCAAATGCCAAGCAGCCCTCCTATCAACCTTTAGGCAAGCCGTCTTGCCCCTTGCGGCAGCCTCGCCGTGGCAAATATCGGTTGTTTCGTTGCGAATTGCCTACCATCGCCTGATGTTGGTTCATCTCCTGCTTCCTCTCAAGATCGTATCTGGGTACTTTATGATGACGGCGTTTGAATAGGTTCCTTGAGGGATTTGGCAGCAGTCGCAGTGTTGGGTTCGCCATTGGCTCTGTATTTTGGCTCGAGGATTCCGACCTATGGCGAGTAGTAGGGTCAGCATCATGTCTCAATACTCAGTGGACATTGGGCACAATCCTTACCATAGATAGCAATCTCCAAACGGTGTCGGTCGGCTGCGCGCCAACACCAATCCAGTAGCGTGCACGCAGCGAGTCGAGGCGGATCTCCTTGTGCGGCTTTGTCGTGGCGTCGTAGGGGTCTTGTCTGGGGATGGGGTCGTAGGTGCCGATGACCTCCATGGGCTTGCTGTTACGGGCGGTTCTGCAGGGGACACGTTAGCCTCTGCGCAATGATCCTTTCATCTCCTCCCAAGCTCCGTTGCCATCATCATCATCATCATCCTCCAGGCGCATGGGTTGTTCCGAGTCGCAAGAGATTGGCGGGGTGTTTGAGGAAGCGTACCTGGCCTGAGAAACAACAATGTTGTAAAAGGGCTGGTTGACGCGCCCGAAGCGCGCAAGTCTTATCCGGACAACCATATCGGCGGTGTGTATGTGCGAAGGCCTCGGGGCGCTTTCGTTTCGTCTCGTTCGTCAATCGTCGTCGGCGGCGTCGCGAGCGTGAGGTGATGGCCGTAGAGCCTCCTTCCCCGAGTCCGCGGAGCGTGGAATTTTTGGTCCGGAAGGCCACGTTCTTCCGGCGCCGATGCAGCCGCCGTGTCCACAGCCGCGGGGCGTGGGTGACGCTAGGACCCGAGAGAGGCATGGTCCCGCCGATGCGGATAAGCGTTCCAGGGATAATATTCGCCAGCCAGGCCACTCCAAAAATGTACCTCCCTCTCTGTCTCTCTCCCCGTCTGCTTTTCTAATCCTTACTCGGGCGGCGGGGTGTCTGTCTTTCGCGCAACGCAGCCTGCCTGGGCCCCAGGACCCCGGGAGGAGGGCCCGCGGGCGAACTGGCGGTGGCGTTATGGCGGGGATGTTCCCAGAACTCGGTAGGTGGGACGATGGGCCATCCTCGCTCCGTTCTCTCTCCCCTCCCTCCTCTCGTCGTTCCCCTTTCATCATGAACTATCGGTCTTTTTTTTGCGTGGTTTCCGGCGCGCGCACCGGCCTTTCGTCCTACCAGACCGTCCCCTCCTTTAGCGGCTTCGTCTCAACCAGACGGCCCCGCCCCCGGCGTACGATTCATACGCCTTGCTGCTAGTCTTGTACCCCTCCAATAGTCCTTCTAGAAAAAAGCATGTCCGGCCACTTTTGGCAGACCGTCAACAACAATGCCCCGCCGCCGGCGCCGGTCTTTGGAGAGGGGGGAGGGCGCGCACAGTCCGACCCGGAAGAACCCACGGATTACTACTCGCTGGCCTCCCGGCGGGTCGGCACAACACAGCGCTCGCGGCCGACAAGCGCAAGCGCACCGGAAAACGCGGTCGCAGCCGCCGCGGCGGAGTACCCGGACTACTACGCCGACGACACGACGGTGGCCATCGAGCGGGATGCACCGGACGCGCTCCTCCAGGCCACCATCCTGAACTACCGCCGCGAGAACGGGCGGACGTACCACCGTCTGTCGGACGGCAAGTACCCGTTTCCGAACGACGCCCTGGAGCAGGAGAGGCTGGACATTGTGAGCCACCTCTGGATGCTGACGTTTGACGGGGCGTTTTGCTTGTGTCCGAAGAACGAGGGGGCCAGACGGGTGTTGGACCTCGGCACGGGGACGGGGACTTGGGCGCTGGACTACGCGGACGAGTTCCCGCAGGCGACCGTCGTCGGGGTCGACCTGAGCCCCATCCAGCCGATCTACGTGCCGCCGAACTGCCACTTTGAGGTGGACGATTTAGAGAAGGAGTGGACGTGGAAGGAGCCGTTTGATTTCATCTTTGCGCGGAACATGATTGGGTGTTTTGCGAACTGGAGGGAGATCATCGCGCAGGCGTACAAGAGCCTCGAGCCGGGCGGGTACTTTGAGATTCACGACTCGGAGTATCCCATCAAGTGCGATGACGGCACGCTCACGGAGGACATGCCGCTGAGCAAGTGGACGCGAATGATTACGGACGCGTGCGAGAAGCTGGGGCGGAGCCTGGCGATCACGCATACTTTTGCGGACATGATGGAGGAGGCCGGGTTCGAGGGGGTGGTGAAGAAGAAGATCAAGTTCCCCGTTAGCCCGTGGCCTGAGGATCCGAAGTTGAAGGAGATGGGGCTGTGGGTGCAGGCTTCGCTATTGCCTGGGTTAGAGGGGATGAGCCTAGCGCTGTTCACGAGGGTTCTGGAGTGGAAGATGTCGGAGACTATTGTGTTTTGCTCACATGTGAGGCGAGATGTGAAGAATTTGGGGCTGCATGGGTATTGGGATGGGTATGCGATATATGGAAGGAAACCATTAGATGCCCCGAGCTAGCAAGAAAGGCTCCTTTCTCAGCTGAAGACCGACTGACCTTGTTGAATTGTAGATGGAAGTGAGACAGTCGTTAAGGTGTTTTGAAAATTCAGCTTTCACGCCGAGACCTTTCATTATTCTGGACATATATATATCGTATAAATGGCTTTGTCCTTGATTTACCTATCAATTTCTGCTTTTCGCATTCAAGCAGTTTCTCCCTAGCACTACAGCATATGTCGTCAAATCTATCAAGACAATGGTTGCGCCGGCTTTTCACCGATTCCCCTCGCTACCAGGCAAGCTTCGAAACGCCACTTGGGATTTCGCGACCCGTCCCACAAACGATCGTGGCACAAGTGATCGCGGCGTTCATTACTTCTCCCTCTTCTCCGCCTTCCAAAAAACATTTTCCGATACCAGATGAATACGGTCAAAATGTCATCCCGCCAGCACCCAAGCGGCCATGCCAAACTCTAGGGGCACCGCTGCCACTAAACAGCTCTTCCCTTCACCCCTGGAACGTGCAGAATTAGTCAACATACGCCATAGACATGGAACTATGGACTGCGTGCAAAGAGTCTAGAGCAGCAACGCTTCGCCGCTACAGACTGGTAAATGGCTCAGCACCTACGACGAAACGAAGAAATCTTACTTGGACATGTGATGAGGCACATACACGAGGGTTCTCTCACGGGAGGAAAAGCCTGATTGCGTCCGGATGCCTGTGACGTTCATCGCCAAGACTAATGGCGCAGAACAGTACTTCACAGTCCTTCCGATTGGGGATATTGTTTACGTACAGCCGCGCGGCTGCAACCCGGATTTCACACGCCTGATCGTAGACATGCCATTCTTCGCAATGCGCAACGGTTTCAGAGGCGTACGTCACCTGGCCATAGACTTTGATCCTTCATGGACTGCTGAGGGACTACGAGCGTCCGAAAGCTTTGCTGAAGGTGACGAGCTCGAGGGAGATGAGAATGAGCGAGACCTCCGACACTGGGTGATGTATGGGGCTTTATTGAACGCTGTGACGGATGTTGAATATCTCGGAAAACCAACAATGTGGCTTGTAGACCATCGTATTCGTCGTCGGAATCCCCCAGTGCTTCAGAAGTGGCAGCACGAACATCTCTCGATTTATCCAGAGTACGATCAACCCGTCTTTCATTCGACTGCGTGTAAGTACTCCGCCGTTTCTAAAACATTCCCTGACTCCTTCTGGGCCTACAATCAGCAAGTTGAAAATTGTGTTTGGGCATTTCTCGTGGAATTAGAGAGGGTAGGTGAGCGGCGGGTGGCCCTTCAGGAGGGGATCGGTGAAGACGAGGTTGTCTTACAGCCATTCAGAGTTCTCGCTTGCGAGCAGGACCAATGAAATACCCGGATTCGGCAGTTTCTGTAAAGCTTTAATGGTATTACCTGTGTTTGCATGCCGTATGATACAGGCGATACGAATAGCTCAGAACTTTGCTTCAGTACCATTTCTCACATTCATCTAAGCCTTTACACCCTTGGCATCCACTCCATTATTGTTCTCTTCATCCTTGGTGTCCAGTACTTCTTTTCCGTTGACTACAGGAGTCACCAGCAGATGCGCCGGGAACATTCTGTCCCCAGGAAAGAACCCCTCCGTATGGCGCATGAACTCCCATGTCTTAGGCTGATCGTCCCGCTGCGGAGGGTAAACCCTGACTTGCCATATTTGGCAACTGATATAGTATAGGACGCCCGCCGTGACAGTTGATAGGAGAAAGCCCATGTTGTAGATGCGGACGGCCGCGAGCCCGATTGACCCAGGGTGGAGGTTTCCAGACACCCCTGGCAAGACCAAAAGAACGGCCGCCGCCCATGATCCAAAGGCGCGCAAGTTGAATCCCTTGAAGTAAAAGTAAGGGGAGTCAGAGCTCGTTGAGTACAACGATGGGACGTGGATATTGCCGTTGCGGATGAGCCAGTAGTCGACACTAAACACGACACGTCAGTCTCGAATAAACTCAGCCTAATAAGTAAATAATTGAGGTATTCTTACATCATGCATGCTACGATAGGGCAAATGAAGCAAAGATATGAGCCTAAGAAAGTGAGGAACGACGCGGCGGAGTAAGTGAGCTTCCATGGGACTATGAAGTAAGTCAGCAAACCACATTCAAGTTCTACTTGTACCTTTCGCATAGAGATAACCTTACCACAGACCCAAACCAGAATGAAGCAAAGTATCTGGCCGCGTACGATGGTGAAGTACTTGGGGAACATCCCCGCAAGATCGCTTCCGACAGGAATCGAGTTACTACTCAAGTTTGTAGCAAATGTTGCAAAAGCCTGCAAGAACACTTAACGAGTGGCCACTACCGGCTTCAATGATGAGTTCTTACCTGTATACCAGCAGCTAGGAACACCAAAGTTCTAGCCCCTGGGCCCCAATACTTGTCAAGTACGCTGGAGTAAAAGTCCCACAGATTCCAGTATGCCTAAGAAGTAAGTCAACAACCAATTCTGAAGAAAGTCTCGCTGTTTGACCCACCTCTCCGAATTGCTTGTAGCCCGCGGCCGTGATGACCATGCCCATGAAGGTGACTAGTGGCTTGCTAATCACCAGACCTATAGGCATTGGGATTGTCTGACTCGGCCGGCTCCCATAGCGAGAGAGATCAGCGATGTTCACCAGTGGTGGTATCACATTAGACACAATCGTATTGAGGGCTTTCATGAAGGACCATCCAAGAGCTGCCCCTGTTGCAGCTTCCGTGCTGCTAAGGCCCTGAAAATCAGCTCCGTGGCTAGAGATCTAAATAATGTGAGCGTTTAAGGCGTCTCACGCGACGGGCTTTGCTCACCAATGCCCATATCATGGTCGCTATCAAGCCAATTGGGGCAAGGACTGATTTAATCCTAAAGACGATGTTGATCTTGCTCGGATGCACAAAAGCAAACGGAAGTTGTAGCAACCACGATATCCCGAAGGCTAGGAGATTCGACGATGTGATTCCAGCAGTTACTGGGAGACCTGGCACACGATGAGAACAGGCCGCTGTAAGTATATCAGTAGGGAAACCTACGGTTAGGAATGTCCGTCCACTTATGTCCGAACACGCAGCGGAGCATCACAGCCATGAACTGGCTAGCATACAAAGTCTGAATGGCGGTGTAAAGAACAGCCACGATCTAGTTTACTCCATCAGTTACTGCCGTGATGAACCCAGGTATTGTGATATCTCACCCCTCGAATGCCAATGTACGCAAGGGAACCATAGATTCCTGCTGAAGACCGAACAATAGTAGGAAACCCTACATGATACCTGTGGTGTTCATTCAGTGATCTAAGCATCCATAGAAGTGGGCTCGAAGTTCTCACCAGGTTGCCCCTCGAGAGTTCAAGTACAGCAGAACAGCAACCATGACAGAGACGATGACTAGAGAGAATCCACGCGTTAGAGACGACGATAACACATGGATATATAGAGGTATTTAGGTAGTAAATTACTGGATGCAATCAAAATCGTCCACCAGTTGAGGCCAATGGCGTACAGACTGGCACCGACATTGTAGGTGGTAGGCGAAAATGCGATGCTGAACTGAAAGGCAAAGAACGACCAGGAGTTCCAAGTCCGCTGTTCGGGGGGTGTTGGATCAAGATCCTTGTTCGACCAGCGGCCGAACTTGCCTTCCGTGGATTCTGGTTTGGAGTTGTTGAGTCGGATTGCTTCTCTCAGTTCCCGGGGCGAACTTGGGATTCGATCTGCGACGCTGGCTAGATTACGAAATCCCATTGTAAACAAAAGGTTGATTGCGATGATTGTCTAATAATTTCTCACTGGCGACCAACATGCACAGAGCATAACTCGTTTCTCATGAATGTGGCCAAATCGGATGTGATTGTCAATACTTTTGCTGTTTGGGCGGATAGTGATAACAGGACAATAGCAGTAAGCACGAATATGACGACGCGGATAATTACGATGATAACGATAACGATGGCAACGACGGTAATAAAGATAACAATGATAATAGGGATAATTATAAATGGGATCGTCTTTTAATGTAGCTTATAGGTAGTGGTCCGCCCAGTTAGCTGGAAGTGTTCGCCCGGTAGCAATGCTAATTCTGAAGGTGTCAATTCATCATTTTATCAAGATAAGCGGGATCACCCACGTGCGGTTTACAGGTGCAGCTTATGTGGTGTTCATCAGCGGCTCTTCATGCCAAGGAGTAATGTGCGGCGGGGATGAAATCAAGATCCACTCATGATTCCTCCTGGAGATAGGCTGGGTTCGGCTGATAAGAGTAACCCAGCGCGGGCGATAGGCCTCCTTCATCGGAGTCAAATCGGACATCGTATCAACGGATAGGATGGGGCCGATTCGGTCTTGATGCGGGGAGGATCGGCCAACTTAGCCGATGTCTTGAGTGGGTGACGGCGAGACTTCATCCGAACCACTGTTCATCTTTGCAAGATGGCCACGTTTTTTCTTTCCTCTTGGGCCTGGGGGGCTACATTCAATTCGAATCGAGCTACTCAGAACAAAAGAACAAAATTATCATTTATTTCCTCCCAGCAGTAGGAGAGCTTCCACCATCACCATCTATCATCATGCCTCGAAAGGTCCGCCTTGGGATTCTGACCCCCTCATCCAACACGAGTCTCGAACCACTCTCGCAGGCCATCATATCATCTCTGCCAAATGTGTCGGTCCATTTCTCTCGGTTCCGAGTTCTTAAGATTAGCCTTGACAAAGATGGATTGAACCAATTTCAGAACGAGAACATTGTTGCGGCTGCGCAACTCCTCGCCGATGCCGAAGTCGACGTCATCGGCTGGAGCGGAACATCGTCTGGTTGGCTAGGGTTTGAGGCGGACGAGAGGTTATGCGCCGACATTACAGCAGTCACAGGAATCCCAGCCACCACGTCTGTACTAGCATTGAACAAGGCGGCCCAGGAGTTTGGCGTCAAGGAACTCGGCCTAGTTACTCCTTACACGGATGATGTGCAAAAAGCCATCATTCGAACATACTCCACCATTGGTATCGATTGTGCTAAAGAAAGTCATTTGCGAATCTTCAAGAATTCTACTTTTGCGGCGGTGGATGAATCCACGCTGGACGGCATGGTTAGCGAGGTTGCGGGAAAGGATGTCCAGGCGATTACGACCTTCTGCACGAATCTGAGGGCAGCCCAGCGTGTAGCGTACTGGGAAAAGGAGTACAATGTCCCTGTATTTGATACGGTGGCGACCGTCATTTGGGAGATGTTGAGGATGTGTGAGGTTGAAATGTCGCCTCTGCAGGGCTGGGGCATGTTGTTCACAAAGCCATGAGATCAACTGATGATCAACAACGAAGGCTTCTTTGGTATTTCATTTTGCTTGAACGATAATGTTTCTATTCGCATCCTTGTGTTTTGATTCGGTGTCGATGCACTCCACTCATTACATCTGAAGCACGTGAGACTTTCCGAATGGCATGAGTTCTGCCTTTCCACCAAAATGTAAAGGTTGTGCCTGAACATACCTCCTAGATGCTATTTGGGACCGGCTCAAAGTCTTAGTAGCTTACTTATTTGATGCGGTGTGTGCGCGTGCCAACTCCAGCGCCTCCAATACCAACGCCTTCATATCTGAGGTGATTGGAATTTCGTCAAGATGGTCGCAGCTCGCCCAGATTCCGCAAGAATGTTCCTCTTTGTTGACTCGAAAGTTGTTCTCTGCGACTTTCACGACATAGCTCAATTGCACGGCTTGCACGGCACGGCGTCTGACAGTTGTTGCTTGATCCGTCGGGCTCTTCCCCAGCTTCTCGGTGGCGTAAGTTATACGAGATAGCGGCGATATGACCTCCACCACGGTCAATTGTGTCTCTTCAAAGACTTCGCGGATGATCGCATCATGAACAGTGCCATCTGTAGCATCAACCTTGCCTCCTGGGAGCTCGAAGACATCCGGGTAGTACTTCTCAGCCGGATTTCGCTTGAGAAGAAGTACAGTAGGCCCAGAGTCTCCCTGCTGAAGAATAGCAGCGCCAACAGTCACTTTATCAACCTCGGCAATGCGAAGTTGAACCTCCTGTCGGGACATTGAAAGGAATTCCATGACAAAATGGTGTCTTTTCGTTAGGATCGGTTAAGGTCTGTGAGCTGTGAAACGTATCCTAGGTAGCAGAGTTGTTTGGAGAAAAAGCGAAAGGGGAGATAGATGAAGAAGAGGGCGTTTGCAGGGGCTAAAGTACTTCTAATTTCTACCCTTGGAGACAGGGAAAAGCTTGGTACTGAACTAAAAATGCTTTATGAGAATTTGTTGACATTTTTCTCTATGAATGTGTGTATCACCGCTCAAGGTAGGCAAGGTGTCTGTACTCAATGGACAGGACCTACCTTACTCTTCCTGCACGATCCATCTCCAGGGTCCGTGCGCGAGAGAGATGCCTTGAGCGACAGCCAAATTACTGGGCGCGTATTATGATTGACAGTCAAGCTACCAGGACCCTACTTCTTCGTATTGCATCATCTCGATAGCATTGAAATTGAGCAGAATCTTAGACCCTCCACAGCATTGATTATTCACCCCGAGTTAAGAGAAAATAGCAAGCTGTCGTTTCCTCTAGAACTTGATTTTTGAACAAGCAGTCGAAAGGCATTGGCGTCAAGTACAAATGAAGTGGGCATCAAGAGGTCGTTGGACATTTGCCGAACCGCCCATGTACACTAAAACATTCATTAAGTCAGATCGAGGCGTCATTCGCATCTTGATTGACAAATATCTGATCTTTAACAGTTCCGATATGAACGCAGTTCTTCGAGGTCACGTCTAATACAGTCTTTCTCCGCTGGTGTTGTATGAGTCTAGCTTCAGAGTCTCGATACACCTGTAACAACCGCTTGAACAGAGCTGCAGTGTGTTGTAGGTGCTCACTGTCAAAAGCGCGCAATGGCCATGAGTTGATGTAATGGTTAGCGGGTCTCGGGCCTCGGCCTAGTTCGGGGGGCGACGCTAGGGAGACCTTGCTCACTTCGCCATCTCTCTAGAGCCACAACTCATGGAGTTGATTAGGACGCAGTGCTGTTTATCACGCTACCAACAATGACAGCAACCACAGATTTGGAAGGTTAGGTAGACAACTGGGCGTTATGAGTTCATCCAAAGACCACCGCAGAATAATTGACGGATATGTTCATCCTGTGATTATTGCTTCCCAAGAGACCGGTCATTTTGGAAAGTTCGGCCCAGCGTCATACACTCCTTTTCGGTGGAAACAAATCAATTTCTAATCTGAATGATTGAACATCTCAAACATGCGATTCACACTTACGAGTCCTGCAAATAGAGAGGCAATTGAGCTACTTAGAATGAACTTACGAAGCTCGGCGCACAAATCGCGCCGCCCGACGCCGCCATCGCATCGACCCACGCGCTTATTTCGACGATAGCTCAAATAGGCAATTAGTCACCGAGGTTACTCAGTTAAGATTCTACGCTGTGCAATCCATATCATGAGTTTCGGGATAGTACATGCTCATCAATGCTTCTTTCAGCAGTGCATTGTCACTCAAACGGAGGTTTGAGGGTCACGCAGTCAGTATAGTATTTCTTGACAGGGACGTATTGAGCTTTGCCCTTGACTCAAAAACCTCACACTGGTAGAAGACTGTTATCACCCGTCACCGTTCATTCAAGTCTGGCTATTCCATATTGGCAGTGAGGTCTATGCGTTTTACGTCACTTCATGGGGTATCTGATAAGATTCTACTCTAGAATCCCATGCGTCCTGTCATGCATGGTTTGAGGTTGCGTACTGCTTGTAGGAGCTCGCGTTTATAGACGCGCGAGCTTACTCAGCGGCACGCCTTTGACGACAAAACGCGAGGGATACCGTCTTCGTACTAAACGTAAAGCTAGTACACGTACCAAGGGTTTGAGAGAATTACCAGGGGTTACGGGATCACCACTAGACCGAACACCGGTTCATCCTCTAGGTTCACTGATCATACTGCAAACATGATTGGGTCATTACAGATCGTTACGCTTCCTACCCACTCCGAAAAGACGGGAACCAGCAGATCATTCGAGTCAGGAGTTGTCGAGTCTATCTCGCGAGATCTCGCGAGAGACCGGGAACATGTTCAACCCTTCTTGCCTCGTTGTTCGGCCCAATACAGAATTCATGAATGTCCGAAAGTCCGGGCTTGGAAAATAGCTAGCGAGGCATGAAGCTGGTGCGCTCTTAAAGATGGCCTTCGAAGCACGGAGAGGACCTGCTACTCTCTTTCAAAATCACCACATCATCTCGCCATCTTTCATCTTTAGAGAGTGCTCATCGCAGACCATTTTCAGCCCAAATCTTCATCGATCATTCTTCATATTTCATAGTTTGTTGAAGCGAGCTGAAGTCCAACGCTATGGAACGCCTTCCTGACTCTGGTCTTTCGGTTTTGGTTGTTGGCGCTGGAATCGCCGGTTTGGCCTTTTCCATTGAAGCTCATCGTCAGGGCCATACTGTCAAGGTCTTAGAGAAACGTGCCAATCCGGGAGATTACGGTGAGTGAAGGGTGTTTGGTGACAAAGCAACATGGCTTGGTTTAGTTGGTTAACTTCTTCGTCGTCAGGCGAGATCTTCTTCATTCAGTCGCCCGGACTGCATACCCCGTCTAGATGGCCTGGGTTCATGGACAGACTGCACAAGGTTGCCATCTCGGCCGAGTTTCAGTTCTTCAATTTTAGCGGCCAGAAGCTATTTGGAACCCAGCTTGGCTCCCGGGACGTTCCCACGGTATCGGTCAGCCGCAGGGAGTTTTACGAGCTACTCCTCAACTATGCAACCGAAATTGGCATTCCAATTGATAGGGGTCAAGAGGTTGAGGAGTTCTTTGAAACAGAGGACCTGGGTGGCGTCATCCTCTCTGACGGACGCAAGCTCACCGCAGACATCGTCGTGGCAGCAGATGGTGTAGGCTCCAAGTCATGGAGTCTTGTGACTGGCACGAAGGAGTAGCCAATCAGTTCTGGCTATGCTCTGTACAGGACCAGTTATCCCGCAGAAAAGGCACTGGAAAGCCCTGCTCTTGCAGAATTCTTCAAAGATAAGAGAGAGTGGACCTCTCTGCACATTGGTCCCGGGGCTCACTTTTTCATCCGGTTGTCGCCCACTGAATTCAGTTGGGGCTTGACGCATCGTGACGAAGATTCTGCTGTCGAGGATTGGAACCGTGTCGTGGATTCCAGAGGAGCGCTTCGATATGTCCAGGACTGGGCACCTATCGTCCACGAGGTCATCAAATCAACTCCCAACAATGAGGCCACCGACTGGAAGTTGCGCTTTCGGGACCCCCAGCCAAAGTGGGTCTCTGACGAGGGCCGAGTGGTGCAATGCGGTGATTCAGCACACTCTTTCCTGCCCTCATCCGGCTTTGGTGCCACAACCGCTCTTGAGGATGCCTTCTCTCTTGCAGCCTGCCTAAAGATGGGCGGCAAGGAGTCAGCTAACATCGCCACCAAGGTTCACAACCACCTCCGGTGAGTAAATCCCACATTATGCTACTGACAGTCTCTCCATCTGAGCCATTCTCCCTGACGATGAGTCTAGCTTTGAGAGAACAGCCTGTGCTCAAAAGATAGGCTTCAAATCGAGGGAGGCTTTTCATCGCACCAACTGGAATGAGGCGGCCAAGAATCCCCGAAGCATTGCCAAATTCACGGGGGCATGGTTGTTGAAGCATGATCCCGAGGTCTATGCTTACGAAAACTACGAGGCTTGCGCAGCCCATCTGCTTCATGGAAAGGACTTCAAGAACTCGAACACGGTTCCCGGCTTTCCGTTCAAGCTTTGGACAGTTCAGGAGCTGTTGGAAAAGGCTGACAAAGGGGAGTCAATTGATGATGATAAGGGTGACTGGTACTCCTTCATGTAGCACAGTAGGAACTGGCATCGACCAAGCCAAGTGAGTAACTAAGGGATATCTCAAACAACGACGAATCAGAATATCCGCGCCAAAGCGTCACCGATCACACAACGTCCTACACGGATATGTCCTGACAATACAACGCTTCGCGCTTTGTTACTGTTGATGTTTGCTTTTCATCTGTCCATGTACCTAGGTTGTAACACCCCTACATGTCACCGATCTAGGCAGGCGCTGGTCCCCGCTGCGGCACAGGGCTAGGCACAAGCCATACAAACCACCAGCGCCGAGAGCAGCATAGCTTAAAAAGCCCAGTCAAACCCACCAGCCCTGTCGTCAGGCATATTTCGATTTCTATTTCAGCAGCAGAGGCTCAAGAAACCATTTCGACCTGCCACTATGTACTCGACTCCCGAGGAGATTAATACCGCCGTCGCGGCCTATAGATCCCACATCTCGAACCATAATCGTCGGGTCATCGAAGTTTACGGTGCGTTTGTTCGCAAAATATGCCCTGGAGTAGGCCCTTTCTAACTGTAGCTACTAGTATCTCTGGTCGCCGACGCAGATCTCGAAGAAGGGGATGACGAGGAGTATGATGAGGGTAACGAAGACATCAACGACCTGCGAATACAAAGCCTATGGCCCATGTTTGACACACGGCTTGGGACTTTCGTCTCTACACCAGCTCAAATCCTCACCCGCTGGGACGAACTATGCTCCATCTACGATATGGACGGGACAGGCGGTGGTGTGCCTTCCGAAGAGGAGAAAGCTCATCTCGAGGACTACTTCCTAGCAATGGAAAAGGGCTTGAAGAGGTCATGTCGGGAGGAGGTACGGGAGACAGTTAAATTTCCAGAAGAGTTCCGCCTCCTGGCAAAACAAGTCGGCGCCCTTACAGGGCCCGGCATGACGGAACATAAGTCGCGGTACCAAGCTTCGTTTTGGACCGGGCCATATATCCAGTTCACTACCGAGACTGAGAAGTATCTTCTTGACACAATCAAGAGTCCAGAGTGGCTGGAGGAGCACGTTGCCAGTTGTTGGGACTTTGCCGCGGGCTGGGAATCGGGCGCTGGCTATGACTGTTGGTCCTACGTTGTCTACTGCCGGAGGGCTGCCGAGAATGACGAAGCCAGTGCTTCCCCCGAGCCATGGGCCTGGAGGTACATGCTGAATGATATCTATGGCGAAGAAGTTTTCGACACCATTCCAGATTTGTTGGCGTGGTATTGCCGTTACCGTGAGAGGTCATTGCCTGATGCGTCTAGCATGACGGGATATGAGATTCTGACTGGCAAAATCCTCAGTTAAACTTGACCACAAGAACATGAATCCTGTTCCTCAATTTTTGCTCCAGTTTTGAACCGTCTCGAAGCTGCTTGACAAGTCTGATAATAGGGAATTGATTAATAATGACGCGGCTAATTGATACTCTTGTATACAAGTAGTAGTAAGTAGGGACAGCTATCTTGCTGTTCAACATTAGAAGATTTCATATTTATAGTACAATGTCTGCGTTGTCCATACTAGATGATCTGCCTTGACTGGCTTTGAATCCATCTTTCTAGGAAGCCACGGAAACAGCCACAATCTTAGCGCGCTAACTGGAGGTGTTAAATAAGACCCCACCCCAAGCAACGAAATCCCCCCACAACCGATAACGCGTCGCGTCGCGCAACCTACATACTACATAATATACATTATCCTAGTTAGCTAGGTTTTTCGCTACTATAACGATTAAAATAAAATCTAAAAAAAATACTATAATACTTTATATACTTAGTTATACCTTTAATAACTTTACTAGCGCTATTATAGCTATATAGGGTAGTTAGCTTATCTTTATAGCTATAAGAGAATAGGAGGTACTATATACTACTATCTATAGCTATTTAAAAAACGCTATATTAAAATATAAGTTAAAAATATATAAATAACACCTAAATATAAAGTAAGAATTAGCTCTAATAACTTAGGTCTTTATATAAAGCTCTTTAAGTTTTACGTTTAGTTATTAATATATATAAATATTTACTAAATATATCTTTTATACTACTAGTAATATATAGCTACTTAGAAGGAAGTAAATAGAGAACTTCTTATATTAAAACTTAGTTATTAAAACGCTTAAAGTATAAAAAATTAATACTTAATATATTAAAGATATTATTATTAATAATATTAAGTAGTTTTTTATAATTCTTAACTTTTTAGAGGTTAAAAAGATATTAATAAACTTTTAATAGAATATAAATAAAATAGGAATTATAGAAGAGATATAGAGAGATAATTTAATATTAAGATATTCTAAAAAGCTTTTAATATTTATTTAGAACTCTAAAAATTATACCTAAATATCTATTATTAAGTATATCTTAGTAAATAAGTAAAGCTTATTTTTACTTATTATTTTTAAGAGTAAAACTATATAGTAATAATAATTCCCCTAAAATTTTATAAACTTCACTTTATAGTATTTTATATTATTAAAAAATAGATAGATATTAAATAGTATAAATATTAAGTAGTTAGAGAAAGTATTCTTATCTAAAATAGCTTTAGAAACTAAGAGATTATATTCTAAATATCTTCTTATTATAAATAGCTATAAAAGCTATATCTCTAATAAGTTTATATAGAAATATTATATTAATAATATTTACTTAATATACTTATTAGCTTATTTATTATATTTTATATAGTTACTAGATATATTAGTTTTTTTACCTCTAAAGGAGTTTTATAGATATTATCTAAAAGAATATAACTATATATTTAATTTAATATTAATTAATAAGTAGAACTTCTTCTAATACTATTTATATATTTATAGTAATACTCTCTAGCTTTATATTATTAAAATAAACTAAAAAGTAATAAGTATATAGCTTATTAATATATTAAAGCTATTTATAAGTAAGTTTTTCTATATTTTTATAATAAGTAACGTTTTAAAAGCTCCTATATAGTATAAGAAGTTAATAGATATTATAGAAAGTTTTAAGAATAATATTATAAAAATATTAAAATCTTCTATTAATTTACTATAATATAAATAGTTATTTAATAATAATATAAAGGGTAGAATAAAGTTATAATAACTCTAGCTTAACCTAATTATTTATATCTTATTCTTAGAGAAAATTAAGAAGTAATTAAACTTTAATAATATAGCTATAGCTAATAATTAGTAGATTATTTATATACTTAAAGCTTAAGTTAAAAAATATAAACTAAAACTAAGAGGAAAAGTTAAGCTAAAACTAAATAAGTAATTTATAATTATTAAAGATATTTAGAAAAAGTAATAAGAGGTTTAGAACTATTTAATTAAGTTAGAAGTAGTATTAATTAATAGTAATTCTTCTAATAATAAGGAGAGTATAAAATTATATATTATTATTATAGATTAATAGAGATATTTAGTAATACGTTAAAATATAATTATTATAGTAAGGGTCTAAATACATAAAAATCGCGTTATCAGTTGTGGGGGGATTTCGTTGCTTGGGGTGGGGTCTTATCCTAGTCTCGTGATGACTTTATGTGCACATTGTGATAATTGAGTTGTAGGGTATTGGATCCTTCAATTATTTTTCTATCATCATGTGGTTTCCTGATCAGTGTTTTCTCAATGAGAGCTCTGCATCGATGTGGAAAACTTCTGGAACTCAGAATCCCTCATCAATAGGCTTCTCGGGGTATCCCATTCCAAAATCTCTCCCCTACTCAGAAGTAAGACTTTGTCATAGTTCTCAACAAATCGCAAGCGATGGATGACAGAGATGACTGTCTGCTCAGAGAACTCTCGATCAATGATACTTTGCATCATGGATTCGGTTTCCTGGTCGACACTAGAAAATTGCGCATTAGTTTCTTGCATACAAATAAGATGAGAACTATAACATCCTACCTGCTTGTAGCTTCGTCAAGAACCAGTATCTGGCTGTTGGAAATGATAGCCCTAGCAAGCGCAAGAAGCTGTCTCTCGCCCACCGAGAAGCCATCCGCCTCCAATTCAGCGTCAAGACCGCCTGCCATGCCGATTCTACTTAGAAGCCCAACCTTATCGAGAGCAGTCTTGATTCCCTCGCTGCTTGCTCGTGAGTGAGGATCGAGATTGAAACGCACAGTTCCAGGCATGAAGAACGGCTCTTGTGGGATGACATTGACGTGCGAACGAACTTTAGACCTCTCCAGAGTGGAAAGATCAATGCCGTCTATGAAGATCCTACCATCCGTTACCTCGATCATTTGAAGCAACGAGAGAACAAGTGACGTTTTCCCGCTGCCTGATGAACCACATACGGCAATCCGCTGACCAGGGGAAATGTCAAGGGAGAGGCTTTTCAATGTCGCTGCGGCACCTGCGCTACAGAGTGTGTCAGTATTCAGCTGCACAGTCTTTCTAATCGAAGAGCGACTCACGTATATCCAGCAGTGACGTTCTCAAACTTGATAGCACCCTTCAGTGGCCATCCTGCGGGAGGTGCACCATTGCTGCCAAGCTCTCGTTCTTCAGATAGTGTCTCGTTTGCGAATTCTCTGATTCTCGACACCGCCCCGATAGAAGTTTCCAATGCTGTCCAGTTCTTGATGGTCACTGCAAGATCGGAGTTGAAACCCAGCACCAAAACCATTGCCACACCGACGGCTCCTGGGGTGAACTTGTCCGTTAGTGAAGTTGCCATCGCAACAACAATGAGCGCCAGAGCACCGACAACCAAGTCCAGAACCAATGCCAGCCACTGTTGGATACAAGCAAGCATGTAGTGCGGCTTCTGTGAGCGGTTCAAAAGAGACGAGGCCTGAGCCTCGAAGTTGTTCTCCCATCCATATGCGCGTATGGTCGCTACACCTTTAAGAGTCTCGAGAAAGTGTGTATACATGGGTGCCTTGGCTTCAATGTCGAGAAGTCGGACTTGTCGTGAGGTGCGGAGATAGTAGCGCTGGACAAAAAACAGGACTGCCACGAGAAGAGGGATCGAGGATGCGAGGTATTTTCCGAGGACACAGAGAATTATGAGTTTGATGACGCAGGCGCATGAATCTAGAAAATGTCAGTATACCATTTGATGCCGTGCTGCGTTCAAAATGCTTTACTGGTGAAGAAGTTGATAGCATTCGACGGCAGAGTCATGTCCACCAAATTCAAGTCCTGGCTGAATCTACAAGGGCTGTTAGTAACATAGGCTATGGAAGTAGAGACATGTCACGTACCTGTTGGTGATAGAACCAGTGTCTGTTGACTGAAAAAAGCTCAGTGGTGCTCTGCAGAACTGTCAGTATGAGGGTTTGTGCGAGCATCCCCTAGTCTGCATACTTTAGACTCGTCCGAAGCAGATCTGCATGCAGACCAGTCGCAGTATTGTTGATGATGCGGATAAACATCACCCTATTAAACTTAGCTGCGGTTCTATGATTGGGATCATTCCTGATCAAATGGCTTACCAGCATTCCAAAATAAGCGCGAACATGTTGGTCAAAAACAACAATGCATAGACCCCTAGGTACATGCCGAGGTCTTGGTTCGGCTCCTCTCCGTTGGCTTCAACCCACCATTGAAACCAGATTGCTGGAACACAAATTTATGAGCAAGTCTGTTAGACTTTCAAACCGCGTTGGGGCGGACCTACTTGTGAATCCGGCGCAAAAAGACTCGGTGATTGTAGACGCCACAAAAAGGCCGAAAGCGACCCATCCACCTTGCTCAAAGTAGTACTTGTAGACTAGCCACGACCCATTTTGCCGCAGCCGATCGGCCTCATTGTTGGCGGAAACGACGACTTTGCCTTCTTTTTCCACGTTTGGAGATGGCACGGTGTCTTGTTCGGAAATGGAGTCTGCCGAGTCATCTGCTGGCGCCGAGGTCGTGACTACGTCTGTTGATGTGACGAGAACCTTTTCGTATGGGCCTTGGCTGAGGATTTGGCCATTCTGGACGACAACGACTTCATCAGCAAATCGTAGAAGGTGGCCTGGTCGTTAAGATTCAGCGAGCGCTTAAAATATTGCGGATGAGCTACGACTGCTTACGCGTGTGAGTTGCGAGAATGACAGTGATACCGTTCTGACGGAAGTGCCCATCTTGACCAAATAGACGGGTCGATATTCGACTAACAGATCTAGAGTCGAGACCGCTGAACGTGTCGTCTAGAATGACCACTCGATGCCCAGAGTAAACAGCCCGAGCCAAGGCCTGCCATGGGGATTAGCAAGATTCCTTCCAATGAGAAACGTAAAAACCTACCATTCGCTGCTTTTGCCCTCCGCTCAAACCAACGCCATTACTTCCAATATTATATGCGTCTTCCTCTGGCATGTTCCTAACATCATCCGTGAGAGAACACAGCCACAGCACACGCTCAAACCATTTAGCGTCAAATTCCAACCCGCCAGTGATGTTGTGCCTGATCGTGTTATTCAATATCCACGGGTTCTGTGAACAGTACGCAATGCTCAATGCGGGAGCGGTAAGGGAGCCGCTATGAAGAGTTGTCTCGCTCAGAATACTTTCAAGGAGGCAAGACTTTCCGCAGCCTACCGGTCCAACAATCATGGTGATGCCTCTTTTGATACGCAAGCTTAGATGACCCAAAACAACGTCGGTTTCAGAGGACCAGGAGATGGTTGCATCCTGGAAAGAGGTGATGATGTCCTCTGCGGCTTGGGCAGTAGTCTGTGTGATTAGTTCAACGTCGCCAGTACGACGCATACCAACTTCGGAGAGACCAGATGACCCCTTTTGCGGCGCCCGGGAGGCTTTGAGACAGAAGGCCTCGATTCTCGTGAAGCAAGCAATCCCCTGCACGATGTTGGGAACATACTGACAAAATCTCAGCAATGGGTCGGTAAGGAGGTTGATGAGAGACAGTGCGGTAAAAGCATTGGTGGAAGTTAGAGTCTGGTCTTTGGTGATTAAGGCGATGATGCTGTATATGACGAACGTAGCGAATGGTGCGAATTCGTTGGGGAGGTTTGCTTCGAGTGGGAGTCAGCAAGTGATCTAACGTCTCGGGATGGTGAGATGTCTCACAAACAAGGACTTGCCACAGCAGAAGTTTTCGAAACTTCTCGGACCCGCTGAGCTCGACGCGTCGTAACTGGAGAATGACGCCGGACAATACTTCGGGTAGGCCAAGCATCTTGATGGCCTTCATGTCGCCGAGCATCGTGGCGGTAACGGCAACTCGCTTCTGCAGTCGCTCAATCCAGACGGTCTGGGCTCTTCCGATAGTTTTCGAAATAGGGATCACTCCCACAACGCAGACTGGCGGAAAGAGGTATTAGCCTACAAGAGCGCGCGGAGTCCCCCCCACCAGTCCTTACCAACTGAAATAACGACAGGTACGATGGAAGCAATCTTAATCTGTTGTTGCAGCAAGAACACCGCTATCCCAACCTCAACAACCGAAGCCCAGATTTCGTGAAACATGGCAAAAGTAGTCACAATCCGCTCAACGTCGGTGCCCATCAGTGTGACCGCGGCGCTGTCCTTCAAGTCGTCTACTTTCAGCGACACAGTCTTGCGGAAGATGATGTCGATCAAGCCTGCGCGTATCATCGTCGTGAAACGGTACTGCTGCCGAGAATACGCTGCGCGCGATACGGCTAGCCCGATGTAGGTGAGTACATACGCGCCGACAAGCGCTTGGCCGTACTTTTCGGACTGTGGGGTTTTGGGGGTCTGCATGAAAGTCACTGTAGCTGTAATTAGGAAGGGCTGGCAGAAGGTAAAGGCCGTGAGGAATAGTCGAGTGATGATCCCAAGGAAGATGGTCCCGCGGTAAGCACGGCAGCTCGCGCGGAGCAAGGCGTGGTGTTTCTGGCCTTTGCGAGTCGCCCAAGACAGCTCCAAAGCCCGACCTACCGTTTCGCCGGTCAGATCTGCGTCGACTTCGGGCATGTCAGAAATGTGGATCACTCGAGAGTAACCTAGACGGAAAAACGGCAGGAGCCAGGTGAAGAAGCTGCGCCCCCAGAAGCCGGTCTCTTCCTCTTTGGTGAGCGCTTGGTACGTCGGCTGTAGGAACTTCTTCTTGCCAATCGACTCGAGAGGCACGACGAGCGCTGTGAAAATGAAGATGGCCGTCCATAGTGCCTTCGCCGTGCTGGCCGAAGGTATGAGCCAGAGTGTCCGAAGACGCGGGAGAGCGAGAATCGTTGAGGCTGAGAAGTATAGAATCAAGAGATCGGATGGGCGTGTTGAGCGCTGGTCTTCGAGGATCGAGTGCAGCGATGCCGCGAGGACGGCAACGAAGGTCAAGATGCCCGAGGCGAGGGAGAGTGTTGTGTTAATCGACTGTGTCTTGGTCTGGACGATGAGGAAGGCGAGGTGAAATCCACCCAGCGAAGCCAAGAGACCCTGCCGCCGTGTAAGTGAGTTTTCGTTGATGTTTAAGGGATCTCATACCAATTTCAATACGGCGAGTTTGTAAGTTGTCAATTTTACTGGAGTTCGCACGATCGAGAAAAGCCGAACAGGTATCAGAAGCAGGAATATTGCTGCAGGGAGAACGTGGGAGATTTCATCTTCAAAAAGGAGTGTGAAATCGAAAGGGCGACATTCAAAGGCAATGCGCGGGCCGAATCGATTGTCACTGTCCAGTGGACAAGTCGTACGGTTAGCCATGACTCTGTGACGGCGAGTATGGCGACTGTATTCACGGCTTTTTCATGCGTTGATTCTTATTCTCTGACAGAATATGCAGACTTTAGACTCATATACATCACCCAAGTCAAAAGGACTTTTGCACCGGCTCGCGTGGTACGCGCGCCCACGGAGGCAGTCGTCAGTGGTAAATGCACTTGGCCGTGTAGGGCAGGTCAACACGATTGGAGATGGCGAGATGATTGGGGGATCCCTGAGGTGATCATCCCAAAACGCCTTAGTAGAGTAAGCGGCGCATTTGTTTGCTTGAAAAGGCAAAAATACGGTACACCGTTCATGTATGCCTTGATAATTTCAGAGTCTCACATTCTCTCTATGAATGTCTATCAATGAGTAACACAGAATCATGAGCATAGGACAACATCCCTAGGGAGTTTTACTGGAACAAGGAATCGGACTAGGGCGATGTCGTGATTGCGGGCCCCATCGTTTTCTTCACCTCCGCCCCGGACTTGAACTCGGCTCAAAGTCCGGGGCAGCCCCGCACCGTCGCATCTCACCAACACACCCAGTCTCACTCTCACTCGTCGAAGCGCTCACAGGTCTCCTCCGGTTTAGCCAGCTTACGACGCACCATGCGTGTCCCAGACCTCATCAGCACCTCCCAACCCGACGCCAACGCAACATCGCGACGTACACGGCGACGTCATGACAACACCAGCTCTTCACCGTCCTCATCGGCCTCCGCATCGCCGTCGCCAGAAGATGCACCGCGACCACCAGCGAACAAGAGGCGCAAGACGACAACAGAATCCGCTGGAGGAACTGCATACGCGCGGAGAAAGCGCGCCGTGACCGCGTGCGAGTTCTGCCGTCTGCGCAAAACGAAGTGCGACAATGCCCGGCCGGTGTACGGCTTCTGCCGCCGGCAACGCGCAACTTGTGTCTACGGTGACGAGGAAGAAGAGAACGGGGGTAATGTTGCGAGAAATCACGAGGAAGATTCCAGTGCCGTGATATTGGAGCGGCTGGATGAGATTAAACAATTGCTCCAGAGCTCACCGAGGGGCTTGGCGCCGACGGCCGCGTATCCCGCGTATCAGCCGGAACCCACTGCCGGCGCCGCCGTGCCATCGCCGGGACACCAAGGTTTCGACGTAGAAGGGGCCTCTGACCGCGATGAGACTTCGCGGACGCTTTATTCTGCGCTGCGGTGCGAGTCGATGCTCCGCTGGCCTGTGTTTGATGGGCTTATACCGGAGGAAGATGCGCGGATCGAGTCTTTTATACTCGAGTTTGGTGCGGACCTGGATGATGCGCCAGCTGTCGAGGAGAGGAGAGGACCGTCGTCGACTTCATACGGAGCAACTGCGGGATCTGGGATAAGGGATGATGCATTCGTGCCGTTGTGCCAGAAGTTCCTGATGCATGTCCACCCGCGGAATCCCATCCTCGAAGGCAGGGAACTAGTAACCTACGCAAAGCGGGCGGCCGAACACGGTGTGGGATGGGATTCAGCCTCATGCTTAGTGGTGCGAACTCCCTTTCGCCTTAATATAATGTCACGCTGACTGCTGTACAGTTGCTCGCCTGCGCCTTGGCTTGCCTCACGACACCATGGCTCCCACCCATCGAAGACAGCCCTTTTATGATGACAGTCGCCTCGGAAGATGTGGCAGAGATGCCCCTTCCCGCGATCATAGAGCCGGAGGACTGCGGCGTGGCAGATGCATACTATCTCGCCGCATCAAAACGCATCGGTCTACTCGGCCCGTCCATTCTCGACATACAATGTCTATTCCTGGCTTCCATGTACGAAAAGTGTCGTCTACGCCCTCTGAGAGCGTGTTTCTACATCCAGCAAGCGTCGACGCGTCTCCAAGCGCATCTCCTCCGGAGAGGTAGACGGCCGTGGAGGGCAGCTAGTGGCAGGGAAGAGCCGACGCAGCCTCTCGAGCAGCGCGTCTTTTGGTCCTGCTTCAAAGCCGAAAAGTACCGCCCTCGTCCCCGAAAGCCCATAACCCACCATTGGATACTGACATCGTCCAGCGAAATCCTGCCCACCTTAGGCCTGAGATCAAGCGGCCTCGAGGACTTCACCTATCCAGACTCCTTCCCCGCCCCGCCGTCGACCCTCTCCTCGGCCAGGCCCGCCGCCGGCGACTACTACGCGTGGTCGCCCATGTCCGACGACCAGCAGCGCGTCGAGGAGGAGCGCAGCTGGCTGTACTATCTCGCCGAGATCTCGCTTCGGCGCACCATCAAAGACACCATGGCGGTGCTGTACCGCAAGGGCGAGACGTACTGGCTGCAGAACGAGCAGCTCCTGGTGCGACAGTATGACGAGTTCGAGAAGGAAATTTCCCAGCTGTGAGTTCGCTTCGTCCTATGTCTTGCAATGAGAATCAAATGTGTGAGGAGTGGCCGGCGATGAGCTGACACGGTAGCACAATCATAGGCATTCTCACCTGCCGCCCCTGATTCAGTTCGACGAGCACCGCCACGCCGACAACGAGCTCGCGTTCTATCTGCAGGGCAGGTTCCAGGGGTGGCGCGAGGCGACGCTGCGGCCGCTGCTATACTGCGCGCTCCACGCTCCCGGGGAGGTCAGCGCCAGGGTTGTCGAGCTGGCGCAGAAGGCGGTGGATACGTGCTCTGCCATGATTGTCAAGACCGCATATCACCATCGCCACGGGGGCAGTTGGTTCGTGGCGAGGAGGGCGTTCTCCTGCGCAATGATAATTCTTGCCGCGAGGCTGCGGGATGGGCCCGTGAGGGCGCCGCCGAACTGGAGGGCATTGGTCAGGTTGGCGCTGAGGGTGGTTCGGCGATGGGGTCGCGAGGCGAGGGACGTTGAGAGGATGAGGTCTACGTTGGAGAGGCTGTTCAATCAGGTACAGGCGAGAGCCGGACCAGAGGTTGGTAATCTGGGTTAGTTGGGAGGAATCAACATTGACCGTCATCATCATCTCTCGATTTCACGTATTTGATCATGTTTGACAGCCAAGAGCGCCACCATGCAATCGCCACTTTAAACCCCCGAGCACCGGCAGATGGGCTTGCATTAGAGTTGGTCGAAGCCGCTGCTTCAGCAAGTCGTGTGTGCCTGGCTCGCGGGTTTGAGCACCATGCCCTTCTTTCACGATGCCGCGTGTCATCGCGCCAGTTTGTGCGCTGCTCATCAGCGGAGTACGAATCGAGAGGGTCACTTGACTGCTCTTACGCAATCATACTGAGACCTAATCAAGAGACTATTGATTCCATTTCCCGGGACTTGGAATCGTCTCGACGAGCTTTCGCATCCCAAGAACTAACGTCAACCCCGCAATCAGGAAGATCACCGGCAATTCAGTAGTTTCTCAACTAGGAGAGAAAACTTTGACAGACCTGAGCCCAGTTCTTGGTGCCGATGGCCGGCGCACGCTTGTGCGAGCTTCAATAACTTGGTGTGACCCCCCAATTGTTCCATCGAGGCAAGGCGCGGTCCAGAACGGTGGCACACCAACCACTCAGCGGTGTCGAACGTCCAATACGGTCAGTCTGTGCAACGCAAAAATACCAATTGAATGGCTATAGCTTCGCCGCCAGCCGAACTCCAGAGACCCTGACGCCGCCCCCAGAGCACGGCCATTGGCGGGGAGAGGAAGCTGGCCGGATGGTCAGCAGAATCGGGATGGCTGACAACCTTCTCCGACAGTGTGCGCCTTCTAGCTGGGTGGCTGGCAGGTGACAGTGAGAAGTCTATTGCTTGGGGGTTGGATCGGACTGGATCTCTCGATAGCTTGTTCGACGCCCGAGTAAGCGGCTTGCGCTTGGCGGCGTGCGACGACGCGCCGGCGCGAGAGGGTGGCGGCCAGACCCCAGATCGGCAGTGTCTCATTGATCGGGCCACTCATCACCGCAAACTGAGCCTCAACCCCGCAAGCAGAGACCGTTCTGGGCTGCATCGGACAATCAACGGCGGGGGAGTGGCGACTTGACGATTTGAGTTGTGCCATCCGGGAGCATTGCAAGATCTCCGTAAAACGCTTTACCTAGTGTCCAGACACTTCTGAACAACCACTAACGGGTTCGATGGTCTGCAGACCTGAACGAATGTCGATGACGATGGTTACAACATCCGAGGCTCGGCGGCGAGTCCGAACAGGGGCTAGCAGGGACCTTGCACTTTGCAAAAACCCCGGCAATTGCAGCGCAGCGCAGCGCTAGAATCCGATGGTCTGGCTCGATTCACCTGTCGCACCGTTAGCTTCAGCACGCCGAGATCATGGGCATTTGGAATGGGAGAAGAGAAAACGATCGTGCGTGCGCGGTGTCATTGGAAATCAGGCCAACGCGCGACAAACACGAGCCGCCGCCACGATGCGGGCCCTGCGACTCACGTGTCCATGGACTCGGGATGGCCTAGGGGGGTTGGATGAGATGGGGGATGGGATGGGACGGTCTGGTCCTTGACCGGGGTGCGCATTGCAGACTTCGTGTTTGGTGTTTGAGCGGTGGTCCCGTGGTGGAGGAAAACAGCGGACGAACTCGAGGTCTGGGCCGAGACACCACGTGATTGCCATCGTGCGCGAGCGAGGCCCACTCTTGGATTCTTCACGATGAGTCTTCCAGGCTTCTCTTCCGGTCTTGGGTCTGTGTTTTTCCCTGGTTTTCCCGCCGGGGGCCGGGTGATTCAGGGGGTGATCTAATGACATACACTCCACTGTGGAGAGAGTGAATCAATCTTGATCTTTTCTTGGTCTTGTTTTCTTTTCAGCCTTCTCTGGTATTGGTCTTCCAGAGAGGGCAAGAAAAATCCTTCCGAGCGGAGACCGACCACGCATCCGTAGCCGTGATCCGTAGCCGTGATGGTCCGGAGACCCCGTGGAGTGATGAGAATTCTGCATCGTCCGCCGGTTTGTAAGCGCGGCGGCCCCTCGCTCGTATGAGGAGCCCTGCCGGTCAGGTGGAACGGTGAAAACGCGGTCGGCGTCGCGCCAGTGTGTTGCCCATGGGGAAAAGAACAAAGGAAGAAAGAGGAGACTCTAACGAAGCCAGACCAGTCCCAAACTCGGCCGAAAGCCGAGACGATTTTGGATCTTTGAAAGCAAGGCAGCAGACTCCAGAAGAGCCAAAAGAGGGCGCCTGTTACTGATTTCCCGGGGGTGGTCGCTAGCGATGGGGCCGTCATCAAAGACGGGCCGATGTCACGGCCTTGACAGGTAAATCTAAGCACCTGCGGCGGAGAGCCGACCAGGGGATGGGTCGGAACGCACCCACAGCCCGACAGCCGGGGGAGGGAGGTCTGGGCAGTTGGAGACGGGCGCAGGAAGCACGACGAAGGCAGCGGCTTGTTGTTGGTCACGCCGTGGTCACGAACTGGGGCCCCGTTAACAGCGGCGCATACCGAGTCAGGCGGTAAGATGGTACGAGGTGACAGGCTTGCTTGCTTCTTGTTGGAGCGGGCGTGGCCCGACAGACACAGTGAAGCAAGAGTCACCGAGAAGGGAGCATAGGCTTCTGACGAATGCCGATACTCGCTACTCGCTCTCCCTGTTCGATGATGGCGCGTCGTCGCCGTCGTCGCAGTTCGCAAACCCCGACATCAGACCAGTAACCACGGATCTGGAAACGAACATGTAGGTGATTGGATACCGCGGGGTGGAAAAGCTGGAGATGGGTGCTAGGCAGGCCTCCTGGGAGATTCTTTTCTTGGAGACCCCGATATCTCCAGACTGTCGAGAGACGGAGACGGTCTGGAGGTGCATGTGAGTGTGAGGAGGAGCTCCACAGCGGACAGGAACTCGGCCAATTTAGCAAGAGGACGCTGCATCGAGAGGGATCTGGAGGCAGTTAGCGTTCCCAAGTACCACCGAGCATTGGCCCATAGATGGAGCCGGGACCGGGGATTGGAGGAGGGATGATGGGGAATTTGGGGGAATGAGTTGGGGAAAAGAGGGTGGGATGGATGGTTAGGTGCGGATAGGTAGACCTGCGAAATGGGATGGATGGAACGGTTGCATGTTGGGAGGCATGCAAGGCCGGAACAGCTGCACTAGGCAGTAGTAGTGAGGCACAACGACGACGACTTGGAAGCCAAGGCGAGTTTAGGGCGCTGCTTGAATGAATGGCCCGAATAGCTTCGACTTGGGAACCTAACCGAGACGACAGTTTGGTTGTTTGAGTTGTCTCTGGACAGTCGAGCTAGACGGAACCGAGTAACGCTGCGCATGTCCGGAGGTAGAGATGCTGCAGCATGCGGGAGAGCACCGGTGGCCTGTCTCGGCGGCCGGCTTGTCGTATGTACATGTTCGTAGTGGTTGGGATCGTTAGTCCCGCCGGGGTAAGGATCAGAATGAGGATCGGGTTGCATGCTCGTATGTGCAGTACTGACCGGAATCTGTCCATCGAAACACCACACAAACGAGCGAGGGCAGGCCGCAGGAGGGAGGCTGAAGGGCTGATGGAAAAGGAAGCAAAGACATGTGCCAAAATCGTGGAGGCTGTCGTTGGATGACGGGAGTGGAAGGGTTTGGCCAGGGAGGCGGCAAGCACAGGCCCAGCCGCATTCTTTGGCAGATGTCTGTGTGTCTCTGTCCAGCTGGTGTTCACCATCTAATTTCTAGGGCACGTAGAATGCCTCCGCGAGTACGGATAGGCATCTGATTTGATGGTTTGGCGACACTATCACGGGATGAGATGGCGGCAGAGTCAGCACGCAGCCCGCAGAACCGGCAGCCGGAGGGTTGACGTGGAAGACACACAGCAAGCCAAAGCGAGACAATACGTACTCGGTACACCTACAGCGGTGAAATCAGGCCAGACACAGGGCAGAGGACGCTGAAGCTGCCTGCCTGAGCAGCCCAGAGCAGCGCAGACGCCAAACAGGAGGAACAGCAGAGCAGGGGTGTGGCTCTGACAGGGACGGGTGGTGTTTTGGATTGGGCTAAGAGAAGGGAGAGGCGCGAAGCCAATCAGCGCCACGATGGCGGCCGGGGAAGGACGACAGGCGGCGCCGCAGGTTGGGCGGGGGCAGGTTGGGGCACTTCTCGGCGCTTCTCTGGCGCTTTCCCCAAGTGAAGCTCCAGAATTCCCCTCTCCGTCTCCATCTCCGGAGCACTTTTTTAATGTGGTCTTTTTTTGTTACAAGTCATCACAGTTTACTCTTATTTCCAGCTGGCTCGGAAGTTGGAACCCCTCGGGGACCCCACCATTGCGGGTGAAGACGCTTGGAGAGAGAAAATTAGACGGAGGGACGGACTGAGAAGGACCTGTCAAAAATTTTCATCGTGAGATTAGGGGGAAGGGGAGTGAGGACGGATGAAGACAAGCCCGGTTCAACAACATCAGCAACACCCAACTTACTTCCAAACGGTGACGATGACACACCAAAGACAGGAGACAAGGGGCTCTCGTGGAATCTGGTGACAGATTGGCGCTTGTCCTGAAGCGGGATCATGTCGTTGACGTGACGAGAGTCAAGCTCGAGAGCTTCAGAGCGTTGTCTTTCCCTCCCGTTATTGCTACATGCCTTTCACCCCCTTGTATCCGCAAGGAAGTGTAAGGATACATACATCGTAAGGCAGATACATATGCAGCGTTTCTGCACGAGCTCGGAGCCAAGCTCGGCAGGTTCAGGCTTGGCACGACAGCTGGTCCCCTCCTTCCCCTCCCCCGCCGCATTGGTGCGTTGGTGGTGATGGTGTCGAGGTGTTGATGGGATTGGGGGATTGGCCACCCCCAGGTTTGAGATTCGCTTGTTGCGCGCTTGCGGTGGACGGGCGTCATGATCATGTGTGTGAAGTTCCGCGTTTACGCCGTAGGGTTTTACCAGGATCCCAGCATGTCTGCGATGAACGAGGTCGTTTTCGGCTGCCGAGACT